GACCAGAACCCAAGCCTACACTGGAAACAAAAGGCACTCAAAAGTTTTTACAAATAGGTCTTTAGCTTTCCCCACCACCACAACGCCCCAAAAGTGAGTGAATCAAGACAACACTGCAGTCTCAACGAAAAGGTTCTCCCCTAGAAGGTGATGCATGTACTGTGACATCTCAAGTGCATCACTGCACTCTGAACATCAGTGCAGACTGTTATGGGCTCAGAAAAAAAGGCAACAGCAAGAAAAATTTGTTGTTGCCAAGAATAATTGCTTTATGCACACAGAAAAGTATGTATGAAAATGTATGTGCAGCGTGTCTTACTATGACAATGGGTTGCAGACGTGAAGGATGCCAACATTAAGGAGAGAAAAGTAATTAGTTCAGAGGAAAAATGAACTAGTTTTCATTTTTGTATCAATAGAAAATTCTGAAATCTTTGCCCATGAGATTGCTCTTTCTAAACAAACACACACATGTTCCCAAGAGAAGATGCCCTTCAGAGATAAAAATCAAACTGTACAAATCAACATAAGTGTGCAAGGGGGAATGATGCTGCACAGGGTCAGAGCATGCAACAAGTCCTTTCTCAGCACTGAGATTTCTTCTGTCTCTCTTGCTGAAGTTTTATATTGAAGGAGACAAATGAAAACTATGAAGCCTGTAGCACATATTTACAGCTCTGTAATTCAGAGCATATTAACAGACACAGGGAAGGGTTCTCATATCCATCTCTTACATGCTGTACCCTCTGTCCAGTTCAAAGAACTTTTTACAAGTTCTTTTTATTAGCCATAGCATAAAATAAGTAGCTAATGACATTTTACCAGATGAGACAAAGAGATGGACTTTTATTAAAGTGGAATAAAAAAAATACAGACCCCCACCATAAAACTGCACTAATTTTCTCTGTGGCAAAATGGAGTGTCTCCCCAGAGATAAGGGGTATGTAAATAGTTCCAGAGGACTTCCACCTACCTCTACATTTTTCATTATCATGATACCTGGGCAGTTTCTGTATTATTTTTCAAAACATTTAAGAATTTTTGCACTCATGGGCCTATTTCATCTTACTGTGGGGGAGCTAAAACAAGGTATCCAAGGTCCCAGAAGACACCAAGGGCAGTACCTTGTGTGTGAGCTGAACTTGCTTCTCTTCAATCCTCAGTAAAATTGTCCATTTTCCAAACACTCCTTCTATCTGACATTAGTCTAGTGGAGATCATATATGCTGCAAAGCTACCATGGCAGACATACCAGGGACAAAAGAACAACTGTTTCCTGACTACATCCTTGAAATGTAGGAAAGGATATTCCCCATATCCCCACTGATATTTTGTTGACAATGCCCCCAATACTCTGTTCCTAGTGGATGTTAGGCAGACAAGTATGTTTGAAACAATGGGTCAAAAGTCCCTTACAGAGAAATGCAGCACCAGAGAAAGGTATGTTTTATGCAGAAATTATTCTTACTATCCCAGAGATTTAAAGTTAAGACTGATCACACTGCATTTGTATACAATACGCTGGGGAAAAAGCAGCTACTTAAAACATGAAAGGCTGTGTGAGAAGGAGAAAGTACCTTCACATCACCCCTAGAAAAAGGTGTTTGTCTATATAATTTTAGCTCTGTTGACCAAAGAGAAGGAAGCTTGTAGCCAAGAGAGGTCTGCATTCCACCCTTCTAAACTGCACTTTTTTTTTCCCAGCCTCTGGATAAAATCAGCTCAGCCTCCCTGAGGCTCATTTGCTCACTAAGCAGTGAGAAATAATTATCACACCAAAGGAAATTTCTCTACTTATTGTTCTGATACTGTTGGTCTTTTCAGAGTGCTCTAGAATTTAAGAAACAGTGAAATTTCTTATCAGAAGGCATAAAATTGTCTGAATCCAGAGAATGCTCTACATGTTCAATTTGTCTCTAGATCTCTCCTTGGGTCAACTGTTCTTTTCAGCAGCATCTACAGCACAAGTACATGGAAGATGTGTGAGTTGGGACTAAACCCTGCCTTGACTTTGTCTAATGCCATCAGAATGTCACAGAAACAGAAGGAGTGCAGGCCTGACAACCTATCAGCTCTGTGTGTGTAAATGGAGGAATTTACCACATCTCCCTGTTGTACTGGAATGAGTGAGGGCTGAAAGACGTTATTACACTCCACATAAACAACAAAAACAAGTGTAGAGATGGAAATAAACAAAATCTCAGACCTAGAAAATCCTTGGACTTGGCAAATCTAAACCAAACCTTCACACACAGCTGAACTAGAAATTAGTTCTTTTACCTGATTTCTGAGGCAGTTTGGATTTAAGATCAAAGCTGTACCTCAGACACATGTCTAAAAATAAAGAAATAAACAAAAAATAAGTGAGAGGAGTCCATGCAGGAACTGAAAAACCCTGTATTAATACCTCTTAAAACCTCATCACATGAAATCCAAAAGGAACCGAGTTATTTCTATACATGGTATTAGCAAGACTACTGGAGTATCATCTTCATTTCTGTTGTCTTCAGTTTAAGAAGGATGTCTGAAGTGGGAGACAGTTCACAGTGGTTATATAAACAGAATTTGAAATCTGAAAGCTTAACAGGAAGACTGACGGCCTTAGGAACCTCTCTTCCTATCCAGGTTAGTCAAGAAAAGGTTAAGAAGTGACTATTTAAAAACACCCATATCAGGAGGAGTCTTTCGACAATATTTAGCAGGAAAGGCGATAATGAGATCTAATAGTTGGAAACTGAAGCTTGACTAATTCAAACTATAAATAGGGCACTTAAAAAAAAGCAAATAAGGAGATAATTAAGCATTAAAAGAACATCTAGAGACCTTATATCCTCCTCATCACTTAAGTTTTTTACATGAAGAGCAAAAATCTTTCTGCACATGTCATAGCTCAGTTACTGGACCTAAACACAGTAATTACTGCATGAAGTTTTGTAACAAAAGTTATAGCAGAGATAATTTTAGAAATTCAGAATGGCTGCTGCTGGCCTAGCTATGAAGCTATGTACCTGAAGAGTGGTTTAAACAGTGTTTGGGTGGTATGCTGGTTGACAAGTGTTTTATGTCAATACTGACTGCATACTGAGCTACAAAATACTACACTCCCATTGACTACAATTAGTAAGGCTATGTAAATGTGTTCCATGTTGTTTATGACCTCAGACACTAACTTTATGGAAGGCTATTTCACAGATATTTCATTATTAATCATCTGTGCTTTTACACTGCAACAAGTCAGACTGGTGTAGAAATACTAAAGGGAAAGAAGCCTTGCAGTTTAAAAATATGCCAACCAAAAGAACAGAAAACCAAAACAAGAGTCAAGGTGAAAGGTTGGATCACATTCTAAAAATACTGTGAAATAAGTCTTCACTGAGAGGAAGCTTTATAAATTCAACACTATCCAGCATGCTGGCTACCTGATGGGAAGGAAGCAGGTACAATATGTACCACCACTTTCAGTACCAAGAGTCTCTGCCTCCCTGCCTTATTTATCTGCCAGACACAGTGGGGAGGGCAATAAGTAACTGGAAACCCAGCTGTGATCCTGGCTGTGGAGTGGACAGACAGGCTCCCACAGCAGAAGCAAACTACAGCTACTGCAATGAGGAAAAACCCAAAAAGATCTGGGGATAAACAGCACCAGTAGGGAGAAGAACTGCTGGAGAAAAACTGCTTCTGTGTCAGGATATCTTGTGCCTACTTTGGGCAAAGCATAGAAATGCCCTCTAAGTGTGGCAGCCAAGTCCTCCCAGGGCCAGGGGAACAGCTGAGCAGCTTCACACACATGCAAGCCAGGCCTGGGAACTCACGGATGCTCAGGCAGGGTCCAGGCATGGTCAGAAACACTACAGCAGCAGCTCCCATTCTCACCAGGAAGCATAGAAAACTGAGCCACACAGGACATGTGAGATGTGAGCATGGGAGCGAGTGACTGTGGGGCAGAGTAACTCAATGGCCAACAAGAGAGTGAGCACAGGACTACAGAAATTCTTTAAAACCAGTTTGCATTCAGAAAGGAATGTATGTGGAAGACAGCTGAGGATGAGAGTGTCTTGTTATAAACACGGACTTACCCCTCTTCCCCCCCAGAAATCCCAAATTCATTTGTCAGAGGGCAAAGCACAGTTTTGTTTGCTCCTGGCCCTCTTGTTCATTGTTGCTTAAGCGCCCCACCTGACTAAAGTTTACTTAAAACATCTTTATTTCCATCAGTACTGCTTCCCCTCCAAAAAGGAAAATTCCACTCTTTTTGTCCCCATCCTAATTCACGTCTCACTGGCCAGCAGACCTTGGCCTTTCCTATCTGTCAAACACTGAATCATCTCAGCAAGGAAGTACCTGGCTCTCACCTTGCCCTCAGCTCCAGTTGTTGTTCCAATGTCAGTGATATCCAAGATCCTTGGCAGCATCCTTTTGTGCTCAGCTAAGCTCACTCCTCCTCCTTCCCGCTGCCTAAGGCAGTACTCATGCTCTACACTAGAGCCTGGGCATCACAAACATTTGAGACCCGATCAGAACTTGAAAATAGCCACAGCACAAATGTGTTCCACTTGCCACAGCTGGCGAAACTCTGACCTTTGTGCTGCAGAACGTAACTAAGCAATTCCAATGAAGTGGAAGGAAACACAGCACTTCCCATCAAAATAAACCCTCCATATTTGTATCTGTCATGAGAGACAGGCCAAATGCTTGACAAGGGGTGCAGGAGATGGGAGGGGACATTCAGCATACTGTATTTAAGCATAATTTTCTTCAGTTAAAAACAACAGCTAGGAAAACCAAACCAGCAAGAGCTTATTAAAAATTAAAAAAAAATTAAAAAACGAACATAAAAAAAAAAAAAAAACAACAAAAAAGCCAAACAAAAAACCACCCCAAAAATAATGTATAAAGCCAGGGACTTCCCTGCTCTCTTCCATAAAACCAGAAATAACTCCTCACCCTGCCCCACCCCCTCCTCAGTCCAAGAACCTAAGCAGCCTTGTGCTGACACTCACGCAGGTGTGCTGGCAGTCTGATGGTGTCTTCCTCCATCCTGATCGCTTGAGGCACTGGGACATGTAGTGGTGACGAAGTGTAATTTGGTACCGGGCTTGCTGGAGGTGTGTACGAAATTCTTTCCTGCTGTTAAAAGAAATTGGGGGGTGGGGGGGAGGGAGAGAAAGAGAGAGGACAACGTGAACTTTGGAGCAGAGGTATGAAACCATGGCAGAGGAGGTGGATGTGGGTGGAAGGAAGGAAGTGTGTGCCTGGTGATGTGAGCAGCAGTAGTGATGCACCAGGTGCCCAGGGAGCCCCAGAGCCCACAAGGAACACTGGTGGCCAGCACTGCCCAGCACTGCAGTGGAGCCAAGCATGTTTTAGGATTTATGCTTTCAGCCTTAGTTTTCAAAAGAGCCATGAAGTTTCCAACAGTCCTCTCAGAAATTTGCCATGGGAGGAAAGGGGAAGTGACATGCAAGTGGAGAGACTCCAAGGGTTTTATGTCAGTGAAAATCTGACAGCAACTCCTTGATACATGCATAAGCACCACTGAAGTGCCAAAACCACTTAATCTTACACTAACAAATCAGTCATGATCTGAACAAGCTAAGTGTTTAGCACTATGCTCCTTCCTACCTTTTTAAAGACATTAATCAATAACTTTTGCCATTACTGCAGAAAAACACATCACTAAAGACTACTCTATTTACCATCAAGTAACATAGTACTCTTGTTTTTGCTAAACGAGCTACTATTACCTTCTTCGAAGTAGTTTAACTTGCAACCAAATACAGTCAAATAGAGTTAAAGGGCAACTTGTGAATGTTGTATTAGTTTCAGAATTGTCACAGTTAGGTTTTTACTTATGAAAATGCCTGATGAGAAATCTAAGACTGAAACTTCATGTTATCTGATGGGAAAATTCTTCCATATTCTTAGCCTCCAATGATGTACTGCAATCATAGTACAAAATATACCCTTTGTAAATAAACATAGCCACAATTTTACAGGAATCCAGTATCATATGCTTCCTGGAAGGCAATGCATGTTATTCTCCAGAACCATGCTACTGACATGCAATGATGCCAATGCAAACAGTATGGATTTACATCCCTGCACATGCAGAAGCAGAAGGAGCTACTGTAATTTCTGAGCATTTGCAGGACAGTGTGAGTGCAGCCTCTCACCCTGACCTTGATCTCCAGCAAATGGAAAAGACAAATTTAGTTCTGGACCAAGAGAAGGTAACTGCTTCTAGGACAAACCACAGCATTATCATAGCCATGAGACAGGAAAACAGACTGAGGCTGATAGAGGCACCTGCAGAGTGTAATGTAAGCACCTTTGCCACCAAAGGGAAGGGGAGGTTTGCAAAATACTCTGCAGGCAGATTAGGTGACATCCAAAAATAAAGGGAACACCTAGAAAGTCTTGCAGCCACCACTTCAAAGCAAGCCCAGTTCATTCTTTTGCAAGGTGCTGTTTGCTGCTCAGGAGTTCAGGCAGAAGCAGAAGTTTAGCCTCAACATCAGGAGTCCCACCACAACACCCTATAACCACATGGCAGAAAAGACTGACAGGATGTAGAGAACAAACTATTTTATGTTTAGACACTGAGAAGACAGGCCTGTTTCGCTCCACCAGCACTTTATTTCTGCAAGTATGGCCTCTGTGGCTGTCAGCTCAGTACTTTTTAAAGAGAAATTGTTCAATCTTATGTTCCTGTCTCCCACAAACTCTGTTTCTTTCTGCTCATTACTGTCCAGGCAACAGCAACCCATTAGCTGGCATGAATTCAGTTTTTCGAAGTTACCAAATGGGGATGTTCATTGTGATGCAATGAAGGACGCACCTGTGGAGCTACAAGGCATTATCTGGTTTTCAACTTCCCCAACTCAAACTGGCTGACTCTGGGCTTCCCGTTCCAGAGGTGTGGCTCTCCGTGCTCATCTGCACCTCTCACCTTGGTGCACAGCACCCCTGGAGGGGAGGGACACCAGGCGCTTCCCAGCATTTCCCTGCTGCGATTCACAGCGCAGCTAATCAAACCACACTTCAGCTGCTCGCTTTGTCCATGGAGATACTTATAAAAAGAGGAACACTTCTGAAACATAGCCGCTCAGATGCCTGTCTCTGTTAATGGGCACTAGAGGATAGGTGGGAAATGTGAAGTCCTTTTCCTCCCTCCTGAAGAATGCAGGACACAGTCCAAGCTCAGGTCACATTTCATGCCCACTGAATCACCATTGCAAAGACAAAGCAGCATCAAAGGGTCTCCTCACTGCCCAAGAGCAAATGGAAAATGAAATTAAATCCAGAACCTGTCCATTTCTCTCAAGATCCAGACGGTGCTGTATCAAACCAAGGCATTATGCTTCCAGCATGTGCTGCCTTTACTGATCAATCTCCTAAAGGCATACCATAACTTGATTTATACCATGACAGTTTCATTGAGGTTTACTGTTTTAAACAAATGCATTTGATTCATTGTTTCATAGTATTCATAAGGACAGGACAGCCAAACCAAACAAGATATGGAACTGCAGTTACTTTTCCCACACATCTTGGATGTCTACAGTACTGTGTGAATTACTATTTGCAGAAGGCATTTTACAAGGCACGAAGGGGAGTTAGTTATCCAATTCCTATTAGTGCCTTTGAAATGACCTCTCTTGCTAATCCTGAATTTTTCTGTCAGCACCTTTAGCCTAAATATCAAAGCAATTTACAGACATTAGGTAAGTCTTTTTCTTTTTATTAGACACACAGACAACCTGAGTTACAGCAAGAGCACAGCTCAAATGAGCTAAGCAATTTCAGAGTTAAGCTGTCTTGAAAAAGGACAGCATGTGCCTCTCAAGGGTAATATATTTAACAGTTGCATGCTGAAAGAGCTGCCCTTTAACTGCCCTGGTCAGATTTCCAAAAGGCATGGAATGGTAATGGCACAGAGAGGACAAGACACTGGGCTTGTGTAAAAAATTAGCTTAATCCCTGTTTGCAGCATGGGGCAGTAATGTGGCTGGCAGCAGAACTGCAAACACCAGTCTAGTTCTACAACCTGCCCCTGCTCTGTGCTCAACCACACACAGTGCCCAGCCTGCAGAGCCAATGCACAAGGTCACATGTGCTTATCCAGGCTTTCTGAGGCTTTTTAGAGTCACATTTCCAGGACGCACCTATTGTGCCCACACCACTGAGAACAGATTGCCTTAATCTTCACTACTCCAGAACTGCCCAGTGCTTCTCTCTGTGGAATCCAAACAAAAACATGGTTGGTGTCTCATGCTTCTAAGGTTAATGCAACCAGATACTCTGCTACTAGCAATTTTTCTGAAAGCACTTCCTAACTAGTCAAGTTTAATATTTCCCTTTGTATTAAGGCCAAGAATGGTAGGCTTGAGGTAGCGCTGGTAGAACCTGCATGAACCTTGCATGTTCTTGAGCAAACAGCCTTGCTGCAGCTTAATCTACTGGTAAAAGAAACTAAATCAATATACATTTGATGTGGTCCTGTGAGATTTTTGGTGATGAGTGCTAAGGAAGAGCTTGGTACTACCACATTCCATATTCACCACCTGCCAGGGGACTCTATAAACATCTAAACCTACAAGTGACCAAATGCTCAGCCCCAAACAATTACCAGCCAAGAAATTTCAAAATAGCAACTCCTGAGCATTTTGCCAGTAGCCACAAAGAGGTGACTAAAACAGATGGCATATTGCTTGCTGTCATCATTTTTGATCGGTTTCTTCAGCTCATAGGGAGTCAAGAAAGCTTCACCATGAAATTTCATGTTGCTTACAGTAATTGAAGAGCTATATGAAGTCAATTTTTGTGGAAGGCGCTCCCTGAGGTTTTCTCTGGTGGCTGGTACTCCAAGAGTGCCACCAAGCCAACCAGCCAGGTCTACTGAGAGTAAAACATGCTTGTACCTGCCCAATTGAGTAGAGACAGGTTGAAACACATGGCTAAAAATCAAGAGAATCTATGGGTTCTCTTTTTTAAATATTCAGCTGCTGAGAATGTCATAGATCAAACCATCTTGTCTAAATCATAAGTTATGCTGACCGTGACTATGTAGTAGGTGTGTATCAAACAGCTGACTAGAATCCCAAAACCATCAAAGCACACACTGATCTCTGTTTGAAGAATTGGGGTATATTCTTTACTGAAAAAATCAACCTTAACAGAATTTTCTGTCAGGAATACAAATAGTTCATATTTCTAAAATAAAAGTATTAATAAAAAAATTAAAGTATCAAAAATAAATTTAAAAGAAGTCTAACAGTTGAGGATGAAGGAGGCTGCAAATAAAAATAGCTTCAGGCTTTTTATATAATTGCACCCTTTTGAACTCCAAAGCAACAGCCTTGCAATCTGATAGTCTTTTTGTCTCTTTACTAAGTTCACTCAGATGACAGGCACAAAGAATATACATGTTTTTGTAGAAATGAAAATAAAACACATAAGGAAGTCTGCTAAGCAAGCTCTTATGTTGTCCCAATGACATGATTATTTCAGTAGCTGGATAGGTGGTATAGTGAAACTGCCTTTTTTAATAGATAAAGCAAAGAAATTCAATAATTTTTCAGGAAATCAAAACAGCTAATGTGATCTGCAAATACCTTATGCTGGATAGAAAAGGCAGCTGACCCTAATCACTGTAAAAAACTTTCTTCTATACTGCACATAATGATACCACATAGGGAGAAAGGAACTGAGAGTGAAAGCTGACACCCATCTGGCTCCCAGGATGCTCATGTATCTGTGCCATGAAATGTAAAGTCAGGCTAAGGGACCAGGAGCCAGGGGTAACCTGTGAGGGTTTGAGTTTCCCTACTGTGGATTGTCATAGGAGTAGGTAGCTCACGTATAGCAGAAGGGGAAAAAGCACCTTAGAGATAAGGGTGGTTGGAGGGAAATGATGTGGTTGCAGGAAAAATTCAGAAGGCCCTGAACATCTGGGCACCCAGCAGGGCAATGACAGCAAACCAGCCAGAGCAGCACAGGGGAAAACAGCAATTTTAGTAAGTTAATCCTTAGAGAAGCAAGTGAGGAGAAGAGGAAAGGGAAGGCAGACAGATGCACTCTTCAACCAGTGGTTTGTATGCAATACCACAGCTGCATATGAAAGTCTA